GGGAGGGGGGAGAACAGGGGAACCCGTGGCTGATATGTAGAACTAAATTATATTGTAAAATAAAAAAGGAAAAAAAAAAAGAATAAATTGTTCTGGTTCCTAAAATACCAGTGCTAACAAATTCCTTTTGCACTGCTTGACAAAACTTTACCCACCCAACATCAACTTTACTTACCTTCACACATTTGGAGATCAGAGGTTGTACATCCTCAACCCACCCTAAACACCATACCCTCTGCAGACAGGTGACATGACCAGTAGTCTGCATTTCACACTTGAAATGAAGCTGCAAAGGATTTCCCAGCCCTGCCTGCCCACACTCACCAGGGTCAGATGCAGGGGCCCAGTCTGCTTGTGCACAGGACGGGAGGAGAGCTTCAACTTCTCCCCAAGGCTCTGGCTTCTGCCCCTCAGCGTCCTGGAACCTCTGCTTCTGGGCCACCTTTGCTGCCCTCCTTCAGGGGCGGTGACCTGGGCGGCTCCCAAAGAGGAAAGGAAGTAGCCTGCCAGGACAGCACGGGGTGAGGAGAGAGGGCTTGGGAAAGGAACACCTTTGGGGAGGGGCCCTGTGGGTCCCTGGGTTTGGGGCTCCCCAGCTCAGGGCGAGCTTCCAGAGAGCTGGGCAGTCTGCACAGCGCCGAGGGTCGGGCCCACAGCAGTGCAGGAGGATGAGAAATCAGCATCCAGAATCCCAAGAGCGACAAAAAGAAAGTAACGGTTTGGGGCGGGTTGGGGGGCGGGGCGCGTGTTTAGCAGATGTGAGAAAAGAAACAGGAAGTGAATATATGCTTAACACAGAAAGGGACAAACGCGGGGTCAGGACAGCCCAGGATATGGCTTGTTAAGCGCCCAGGTTGTCAATGTAAATTGATTTATAGTTTCATTTTATATCTCAAGAGACCAATTGAGAAATAGTTCACTGTTCACGATTGTAATCCCTATAACCAAGAGGTTGAGGCAGGAGGATTTGGGCTTTGGGTGCCTTAGCTAAATATTGAACTCCACCCCTAGAGAACAGGGAGAGGGGAGGGACTAAGTGTAGACTGTGACCCCGCAGTCAGATGGTGCAGTGTGTGCAGTACAGGACACTTCCTAGACCACAAAGTTCAATGTTGAAAACAAGTCAGGTTCATACTCCAATAGTCTCTGTAACATTCCAGCATGAAGGGGGAGGGTCACAGGAGCCTCCCCCTCCAGCTGAGGAGCTATGGACAGTTGATGACTGCCAGGAGAGGGAAAGTCAGTTTTCTTCAGGAGTGTGGTCCTTGGTCTGTTGACTATCCAGGGGATGATTCTACTCCATGTGTACATGGGCAGCACTGACTGGACTCAGTGGTCACTGAAGAAGGGAGGGAGGGAGGGAGAGAGGGAAGGAGGGAGGGAGGAAGAGAGGGAGGGAGGAAGAAGTTGTTGGGAGGGGGACTTCGGGGTGAATTCTGTTGTAAGGTAGCAGTGGAGGGTGAGTGAGGCTGAGTATGATTAAAATACATCCTATGTATGAAGTTCTCAAAATTGTTAAAGAATAAAAATTGTGAAAGTTTTTGATAAAGTTAACTTTTATCCGAGTACAAGATACACACAGAGAAAGTGCAGGCTGGGCAGTGGCCGGACTCTGTAAGCCTGAGGACCTGAGTTCAGATCCCCAGCGCCAGGTGAAAAGCCTGGTAGTGGGAGGGGGAGCCAGGGGCATCCCTTGTGCTTGCTGACCATCATTCTAGATGAATCAGAAATCCCTGGTTCATTCCTCAGGTTCAGTGTGAGAGTGAGGATAACACTATTGTTGACCTCCACGGGGATGCGCACCCATGTATAGCCACACATGCACAAACATACACAATTATAGAAAATCTGACTAGACAGCTTGATGTATATTCACAATGTGACATATATGTATTAGTGAAACTCAGATTTTTTATAGAACATTTCGAGTACTTCAGAAGGAGGAATAGGAGCACACACCTATAATCTCAGGACTCAGCCTGAGGCCCAAGGTTTGCAAGTTGAAGGACAGCCTGTGCTACATAGAGGGTGCTGGCCAGCCTGGGCTACAAAGTGAAACTGCTTCTGCTCTCT